GTCTCCTTGGAAATACAAAGCTCTTTATACACTTTAGGTCCTTAGGGAAATCCCAGAGAACACCGAGAGTTGGGACCTGGGGTGAAGAGAATGAGAGGAAGTTAGATCATCCCCTCCACAGGACTGAGGCAGGGAGGCAGGTCAAGGCCATCCAGAGATGCTTTGCCCACTGCAGCACCTAGGATGACCCCACATTTGAGATAAAGTGCAGCTGTGGAGATGAGAGGCAATTGGATTTATATGAAATCTTCCTGTGACCTTTGCCTGAGACCTTTGGTCTGAGGGGTGTTTTCTTACAGCTCTGCTCCTGCTAATGATATTCTCTTGTGGGAGTGATAGCTTCCAGCTGACTGAGATCAGCCGCTAGCTTTAGCACAAAGCTTCCTGGCCTTTGGTAAGACCAAAAGCATGCATTCAGCTACCTTCCAAGGAAGAATGGAAGAATCTTGCCTGAACACTTGGCACACAAGGATGGAGGAAAAGTAGGTGAGGGCAGTAGCTGAAGGATTAGAACAATTCTATAGTGAAAGGATGCGAACAGCAGGGGCAGAAACCTCACCGTGGTTCTTTGTACCTGTCTATAAACAAATACTTATGTCTCAATTACTCAGTTGTACAATGAGTAATGTACAATGTACAATGGCATGCTATGCTTATTCAGTGCTTACCATATTGTCCCACACTATGGTTATCAAAAAAACTTCCAAGTTTTTCAGAGGGCACCAAATAGTAATTTTTCTGCCTAATGCCAACCTCTAATTTTATCTGCATCCCGGTTATTTTGTGACAGCAGTTTCCTAGAAAGAGCTGCTGATGATTCATAGCCAAGTACCACTGATACACTCATTAGGAGACTTGCTGACTACTTTAAATTTGATAGAAAATTAACTGTAAGTCTAACTCAGTAACTCCTATATAAATCTTAATTTACTAATTTTTTTCAGTGTTGAATAAAAATGAAAATCTGTAATCTTCAGAGAATGAAAGCACAGAAAATTTTAAAAAGATTATGAAACATTTTGAGGGGAAGGACAAGGGGTAGCTATTACAGGAGTAAATATATTTGACATTATCTTCTGGAAATGACCACTTAAAACATAATTCATTCTCAGAATTACTGAGAATCCTAAGTTATTCAAAATATTCAAGATATAGAATGATGCTCAATGGTGAAAGCCATTGTGACTATAAAAATAGTCATATAACATAGTAGGCATCACTACATCCAATTTCCATTTATTCTTTTTTCCTTGATGTCATTAACCCAAGTGGATGCTGATGGTTTGGAACACACTGCCATTTAATACTCCATGTAGACTGTACATGAGGTGTTAGCTCCAGGGGACAACCAGGAGGCCTATTAAGGAAAGGGAAAGAGGAGCTGGATTGCAAGATTATGTATTTCTGAGACTGTTTCTTGTTTGTTTCTAAAGCATGGCTAGCACATTTTCACATTTAAGACCCACTGACACTAAACATTCACGAAAGAGGAAAAAAAATCAACTTTTAGCCCTAGCTCCAAGGTAGAAGTTAATTTTAAAATAATTGTTATTATTACTATTATTATTTTTTTTGAGACAGGGTCTTGCTCTGTCACCCAGGGTGGAGTTCAGCGGCACGATCGTGGCTCACTGCAACCTCCATCTTCCAGATTCAAGTGATTTTCCTGCCTTAGGCTCCCAAGTAGCTGAGATTGCAGGTGCATACCATCATGCCCAGCTAATTTTTGTATTTTTAGTAGAGATGGGGTTTCACCATGTTGGCCAGGCTGGTCTCAAACTCCTGACCTCAAATGATCTGCTGACCTAGGAACCCCAAAGTTTTGGAATTACAGGCATGAGCCACCTTGCCCAGCCACATTTTTTTTATATGAAAGGAAATAAAGACACCAACACATTACTGCACAGTGTACACATAGCCTTTATGCACCATGTCTCTGGGATTTGTGTACTTTTTCTTTTGGAATGTCCTGAGTTCTGGAAAGCTGGAATGGCGTTCATTCCTAGTCCCACTTGGGCTTTTGTCCATTTGATTGTCTTCTGGTAAATGTTATCCATGACAGACAATGACTTTTTATAAGCCACTTTGAGATTGCTCAAGTGCTTGTGTGTCTGTGCCACCCCAGGCCATGGAATTGACTCTGCCCCCACACCAAGGCAGTGTCCAGTTTGTGCATCTCCATCTGGATTTTTTTCTGTCACTGTGTAACTGATGGATCTTTTTCCCTCTCATTTTCCACTGCAATCACAAACAGTAAGTGCCCAGAGAAGAGGAAGATTAATCTAGTTTTGACTATGGAAGTTGATTACCACTGATGCTTCTTCTCCAGATTGGATCTTTCTGCCCTTAAAAACTCAGCCTCAAGCTGAGCCTGACTGGGAATTCTAATATCTGCAGATGCTACTAACTTTTCCCTGTAAAACGACAAGGAGATCCTCTAGATCTGCACTGGTAAATGCAGTAGCAACTGGTTTAAATTTAAATTAACAATTAAAAATTCAGCTCCTCAATCACAGTAGCAACATTTCAAGAGCTCAATAGCCATATGTAGCTAGTGGCTACTGTGTAACAAAGCATAGACAGAGAACATTTTTATCATTACAGAAAGTGCTATTGGCTAGAACTGTTCTACAACATACATAGAATATTTCCATTCCAGCAGCAAAATTTGGCCCTGAGAAGAGACTTGATATCTTTTGATAAGGTGACTGTCTTGGAAGGTCCTTTGGGATAGGACAAAGTGATACTCTGAAGGAACAAGATTGGAGAACAAAGAATAGTTGTTCTTTGGTCAGCTAAGGATTTTACTTCGATTGCCTGTATAAATTGGCGGTGGTCTGATCTGCCTGGCTTGGAACATACAGGTGTTTTTTAGAGGCTGTGTGGAGAGAAGGCAAGGAAGGGAAAAGAGATATGGCAATTAGCAGCAGCTAGAGGAGAGAGCCAGGATGTCTAATGAAGGGCTAAAGCAGTATGCTTTGTCAAGTGCAATGCAATCCCTTCTTCCACCTCCCCCGAAAAACCTTGCGTAAAATATGCTTTACTCACTAATGAGTTGAGAATTTAAGATGTTGTTTTTGCTGAGTCTGCTCTCAACAGGAGTACTGGGAATGTACAATGTGTCCAATTACATTGGGTTTAAACATTTTACTCCCTTGCTACTTGATATCTTCTTTCTCCAAGGCAATCTATGCATGTCTTTTCCTTAGGACATTAAAGACTTTTGATTGGCTGAATCGGTTCAATGATCAGTCCCTTCCCAGGTGTGCCTGTGTTTGATACTTCCCTGGAGTCTTCCAGTTTGCAACTAATTTGATGGATTGTAGCTGACTGCTTTGAAGCAAGGAAAAATGAACTTTTTTTTCCTCCTCATTTAACAAATATTTATTGTGCACTTGATATGTACCAGACACTGTTTTAGAAGTTGGCTATATAACAATGAACAAAACCATATTCCCGCCTTCAAATAGCTTAAATCTCTCCTCCTTTTATGCCCTATCATCTACCCAAAAGCAGTTAGTTACAGATATTACAATTACTAGATACACTGCTTTACCTGTTACACTTGACCATGCTAGATGTTATGTAATTTAACAAGTACCATTCACTTGTAAGTTTAGGTAAAAAGATTCATCTGGATCACACAGTTAATAAGAGATAGGGGTAGGGTTCCAACACAAGCTTCCTCCTTTCTATCTTCCTTTCCCCACCTCTTGAGACATGATATGCTTAGGTGAACCAAAAGATGGGAGCTGGGAAAAAAATCAGATGTGTCCTTTGCTTTTATATTTCCCATAGTGACTAGCATGATATTAGAGGACCTAGCAAAATTGACTGACATATAGGAGGCATTCAATAAATATTTGTTGGCTAGTTACATGAATAGCTACGTAGATGGATGGGTAACCGGCATCCTGTGCAGAGTGGCATTTAATCCATATTTGTTGTTAAAGGCTACTTCAGAAGTAGAATGAAATTAAATTCTTCTGAATTAGATTTGGCTTACTAATCACCTTAATTTAGGTTTCAATTACACAAATCAGTTTTTTGCAACAACTTTGGAGTTGGTATTATTTTCATAAAAATATAATTGTTAGATGCATATTAATCGTGTAAAATAATCATTCTTAATGTTGGAAGGATATAGCAAAGTGTTTATGCTCAAACTTCTGAGAGGAGAATAAATAAGTACAGCATTTCTGAAAAGCAATTTGGAAATATTTTTCAATAATAAAAGATTGTCACACCATAGAACTTAATAATTCTACTTCTAGTGATTCATTTAAAAAGATATCCAAGAATGCAAATGAAGACCTATCTAAGGTGTATCTACTTAATGTGAGAAAAAATACAAAAAATTCAAGCATCAATATGAACTATTAAATAAATTATATCACAGAATAATGTACAGCTGTTTGAAATATTTTTAATAACATGTTTAGAATATAACATTAAGTTTTGTAGAAGTAGAATTTAAAACTACAGTATAATCCAAAGTATTCAAATAATGCACACACACATAGACATATACACACACATACAGAAATGCTGACTGAGATTATCTTAACTCTAAATTGTAAGACTATGAGTTAACTTGATTTTCTTCTTCACATTTTTTGTATTTTTTTGTTTTTAAACAATAAGGAATATAATACTGTGGTACTCTCTAAGAGTGTTAATGTACAAGAAATACACAGGCATAATAAAAATATAAAAGTTTTAAATAACAAAATGTTATACCAACTTTTAAAATATTGGTTAGATTAACAATTTGATATTTTACAAAGGTGTCATTTAAAATAATTAGTTGAAATAATATTTCTGGTTTGTTTGAATTATTGGGTATGTGGGAATGGTGGTGGTCAATATTCTTCACTAAGAAGGAAGTCAAGTGGTAATTAACTGTTTTTTAGGATGTATTTGAGCTTCTTGTTACTAAACAACCAAAAACATTTATAGAATAAAAGAAAATGTAAGAGATGGCTAAGTAAGAAAAAATACATGGAAAAGTTGTAATTTTATTGCCCTCTATTATAAATGTGAAATATTCCCAAATAGTTACATATTTGATAACTTTTTACAAAGTTGAAATTTTCTATAGAATAATTACATTATCTTCGTATAAACCATGTTGCATTTTCTTCCTTTTGTGACAATTTTTACCAAAGCTATATCAATGGATGCTTTGTTATGCATTTACTTACCTAGCAACTCATGTTTCTAAGGTGTATAAAGCAACAAATTAGGAAGTGCTTTTGTTCTTCTGTAAGATATTTATCATAAACAAAATCATCTATCTTATATATGTTCACAATTTTATAGGATAATCTCTGCAGCTTTAGTGATAATAAACAGCTTTAGAACTTATCAGTTCAGCTATTAAGGTAAATTGGTTGAACAAAAACCATAAAATTTTAGATAGGAATCTGATCTTTATACTGCAAATGTGAAAATAGTTCTCATATATATATTTGGGATTATTATCAGCAACAGAAAAGATACTGTTCATTCATTTGGGACATAACTTTTTTAAGTAAAACATAATTAAAGCAGTATGTGAATGGATTTAAATATAAAATAACACAATGGTATAATAACTTTAAAGCATATTTGTGAAGAAGTTATGCATAACATTAAAGTATTATCCTTCTTAAAAATATGAAAATATTAATACTAAAAATATGCATCAAAATACTGGGTAGGATTCTACCAACTTATGCTTTTATATGGGACACTAGAAAAGTTAGTTAAATAAGCATAACTCTTGGCCTTTGAGAAGGTTTTATTTATCATTTAAAGCAATAAAAACTAAAGTGAATATTTAGTGGATATGCTTGATATACAATATTTTTGTGCTAAAAATATGTGTTCTCATTGAATTTTAAATTTGTTTTGTGTCAAGAGATGTCATCAAATAGACAATGGTAATCATCTTAATGAGTAAAAGAGGAAAAGCACAGGTTATTCCTATGATCAGAAGAAATAAAATGAAGGAGTAACATAATAGTAATTTCCTGAGCAGGTGGATTTCTAATCCTGGAAATAAACATGCTAATTAAGCTACACTACAGAATGACAAGATATTAAGGTCTTCTGAGTCTGGAGAGATTGTTATTCTAATTTACTAGTAGAACTTAATTCTCATTATATTAAAAGGTGCTTAATCAACCAAATCTCTTTTAATTAACAAATGTATTTAGACAGTTTTAGTGTTTCTGCAACTTTCTTCCAAGGGTGTGAGTTTTACAGGGGCACACTTCCTCATCAGTGTATTCATGGTTTGTTTAATGTCTGCACTTTGCACAGAGCAGAACTGAGTTTCGTTGTCTCTCTGGCAAGGCACTTTTTCCTGTGTGCTGTCAATGGGAGTTTTCATTGGAGAATCAAAGCTCATATTGCTGGCACTTTCATAGCTATCCTATGCTGCCCTCCTTAAAAGATATAAAAATCTTCATCAGTCATAGGAATTCATAGTCCCTTCACTGATTAGGTGAACTGCAGATTTTGTTACTTCCGTGACCAAACATTTTGGAAGAAATTAACTGGAACAATGGGAATAATGGATGGGATACAAAAGTTCATGTGACAAGTAATGTGAGAAAGAAGAAAGGAGCAGTGTCATATTTTCAAGCTTAAATGTACCTGGTAAGTTTATCTTTTCTAAACTAGCAACTGATCAATACATCGCAGTTTTTGGAAGGACACATAAAATACAGAAAATCAGCATGACATTTTTTATTGGGAGAATGAATGCCTTTGTGGAAGAAATGCATTTCTAGGGCGAAAAGACTCAGGAGAAAAATCTCGGCAATGGTTTGGTTTAGTTTCTCATTTGTGTAGGTGTGTGTTTGAGGGAGTGCTGCTTTCCTGTCCCTTTTCTTATCCTTATATTTTAGTTGTTACCATAGTAGGCACTTATTTTATATCAGGAGATACTTTAACTACATTAGAATGTGGTAAATATTTAACACAGTTATAAAAACTTAACTCACTTCACTTTACGCCCAATTCAACAGGCATTTATGGAATAATAATCATTTTTTAAAATAGAGGACTGGTGATACAGAACTATGCCAACTTAAAAAAAAATATGATCCCAATTGCTTAGACCCTTGCTACTCAAAGTATGGTCCAAGCACTGGCATTTCTTGGGAATGGCTAGAAGTTCAGAATCCTAGGCCCCTAGAAATTCAGAATCTTAGGCCCCATTCCTGCCCTCTGAACCAAAATCTGCATTGTTAACAAGATCCTCAGATAAATCAAAGGCACATTAAATTTTGAAAAGCACTGTGTTAGAAGACCACAGTCTAAAAAAAGGAAATAATTTCATAAGAAATGCTCTAACAGAGAACAAATACCAGAGGCTAATCATAGAATGTAATTCTGGTTGCAGGGATTCACATTAGGTTTGAATCTGCCCTCTTACTACATTATAGTTTCCACAGTATATATCAGCAGCTTCTAAAGTGTGTCCCTGGTCAAATACGTTTAAGAAACAGTGCATAATGTACACTATAGCTTAGGGATGGCTTGTTCATAATAGTATGTTAAAGATTTTAGCCAGGTGTGGTGGCAGGTGCCTGTTGTCCTGGTTACTCAAGAGGCTGAGGCAGGAAGATTGCTTGAGACCAGGAGTTGGAGGTTGCAGTGAGCTTTGATTATTGCCACTGCACTCCAGCCTGGGCAACAAAGTGAGATCCTGTCTCAAAATAAATAAATACACATTCAGAGAAGTCCTGAAATAAATAAGTCTGTTTTACCTAAACCCAGGATTCCACATACTGTATAAACATGAAATTGTTTCTCCTTTGCACAGCAATATTACATCTTTTAGAACTGGCATTTTATGGAACACACTTTGGGAAACACTGCAGGTTAAAAGTTTCAACATGTTTCTTATGAAGTTTTTTACTTGAGTTGTTCTGCACTCCATTAACTTCTTTTTATACTGAATACATTTAACCTTGAATGTAAGTTTGAACAAGGAATAAAATTTGGCTCTAACACAATGTATGTAATAATACAGAAATTCTAAGGCAAATTAATTCAACTGTTCTGTTAAAAATTATCCAGATCTGGATAGATAAAGTTGTCTTTGAACAAACAGTATGCTAAAATCTGGCCTCCACATATCATTGAAATTAAGCCGGATCCTGCAAGTAAATGAAAGAGATAGTTGGTTAACTATCAATAATGAATAATTCATGGTGAGATTATGAATAAGAACAATTGTCATGACTAAAATAATGTTTCTGAAACTGACATAGCATTTGAAATAGAATAGTTTATAGATTCAGCTAAGAGAGGGTAGGTATATAGTCTAAGGATGGTAAATTGTTGCAATTTAAAACTTCCTTTGGGGAATAGGTGCATGGTTCTGTCAAATGATAGTAAGGAATGCTTAAAACTCAGAAATCAAAGGCAATGGAGTCAAAGCATATGCCAAGGAATTCATGATTCTCAATTCTTTTAGCTCTTCAATCTGCCATTTGTTTGTTTTGTGGTTGTTTAAAATATATTGTTTTTCCAAAGTACTTTCCCTCTAATTTTAAAAGGAAAGCATGCCCATTAACTTGGGAAATATTTCAAGTATAAAAATATATTTTAAAAACCAGAATCTCACCTACCTGAGATTCTAAACTATTTGGTTTTACAAAAATGTCTTTGGTTCTGATTTCATTGACCTAGTGATTCTTGTTTGTTTTAAAATATTGATCTGGTCTTACACAATTTTCATAAATCTGCTGTTCTCTGTGTGGCAGTAATAGCATAACTCCCATAAAAGGTAAACTTTCCTGAGTTAAGAACTCTGACAGGTCTGCACAACTTCCTCACACAAAGACACATGTCCAGTGTGAGACCATGAGATAGAATTTCCCAACCGTGTAACCACTGTTCTCTTACATTTAAATTTTTTCACTCAAAGAAAAAAAATAAGAAGTCTAGCTCAAATGTCACCCTGCAGTTTTCTTTTTTTTTTTTAGATGGAGTCTTGCTCTGTCACCCAGGCTGGAGTGCAGTGGCATGATCTCAGCTCATTGCAACCTCCACCTCCTGGGTTCAAGTGATTCTCCTGCCTCAGCCTCCTGAAGAGCTAGGATTACACATGCATGCCACCATGCCCGACTAATTTCTGTATTTTTAATAGAAATGGCTTTCACCATATTGGCCAGGCTGGTCTCAAACTCCTGACCTCAAGTGATCCACCTGCCTAGGCCTCCTAAAGTGCTGGAATTACTGGTGTGAGCCACCATGCTCAGCTGCAGCAACTGTAAGTAATTCAACCATAGTTATTGAACCAAAATAGTCATCCAACTCTTAGCAAATTGAATTGGCCATTCCATTATGCTTAACTTGACTCTTCTTGGCATCAAGGTGGCATATGCCATGTGCCTAAGCTGGCTAAGGCACAGTAAATTCTGTGGTATTACAAATAATATCCAAAAGTTATAAGTTCTTGTTTTTGGAGAGAAAAAGTCATTTCACTTATGCTTATAGCACTTCTTTCAGTACCTTTTCTGATGTAGTAAAAATTTATATCTTTGAAAGACATGCAAAATAAAACCTCAGTACTATCTACATGTGTTTTCTGTACATACTAAATAATACCGGAGAAAATCACTCATCTAAGACTTTACAGACATGCAAGATAAGGAGAATTAAACTCTAGTGAAGAAGCCAATAAGCAATCTAAATAATGCTAGTACTCTAAACAGATAATGTGACTAGATATTGTGATCATTGTGGTCAACATCTGGCTTAAGCGAAACAAAAAGCTTTAGAAAAGTTCACTTTCACTCGGTTAATTTCCTTACTAGATATATGATTGATGAACTCAGTTCACTTTGTGGGGAAAAAATATAATTTCACTCTTCCTGTACTGCTACCATAAAGTCAGTAATGTCACACATGAAGAAAAGTGAAGGTGTCACAAATATATCCAGCATGTTATTCTCCATAGTTTTAGAATAATAAAGTTTTTGAAGTCTTTTGGTTTAATTACCTGACCCACAGAAAAATATTTTCCTCCATCTTTATATAGAAATACATAATTATGTAACTAATATGTAATATGCATATATTTATAATGCTATATATAATTATACATAACTATATATATATGTGTGTGTATATATATATATATGTATAATTATTCACAACAGTCAATTGTCTGTGTTCTTTTGGAACCCTCCCATGGTGAAGACTGAATAGCCTTTCCTGATAGTCCACTGGAGTGTGCTCTCTGTCAGGACCCCAAATATACTCATTACATGCCAGGAAAATCTCTGCTCCTTAATTTTATCTCATTTAATTCTCCCCATACTTACACAATAAATATTTATTAATGCTCTACTGTGTGCCAGGCACTGCAGTGGGGACTGAATATTTTATTATGGACATTTTAGTTCTTAAAATATTTTTGTTTGATACTTGAATGAAAATTAAACCATTCCATAATTTTCTTTTCAAAAGGCTAAGCAGCATTTGCTATTTTCCAGTTGAGTTTAGAAACAATTCCTTTGACGATTTGTATGTTCTTTCCCAAGTCATATCTTGTATGTTTGCCTCTATGTGCTTTGAAAGCAACGGTCACAGAGCTAGAAAGCAACAGGGAAGTCTTACTATGTCTTGTGACACTAACTGACCAGTCTATCTTCTTTTATTTAGTTATTTTTTGAGACAGAGTTTTGTTCTTGTGGCTTACCACAACCTCCATCTCCCAGGTTCAAGCAGTTCTCCTGCCTCAGCCTCCTGAGTAGCTGAGATTACAGGTATGCACCACCACACCCAGCTAATTTTGTATTTTTAATAGAAATGGGGTATCTTCATGTTGGTCAGGCTGGTCTTGAACTCCCGACCTCAGGTGATCTGCCTGCCTCGGCCTCCCAAAGTGCTGGGATTACAGGCGTGAGCTACTGTCCCCGGCCCAATCTATCTTCTTTTCAATTTCTTTTTACTCATCACATTGCCTAAATGGTGTTCTCAATTTCTGTCAGCTCTGCTCTTAAGCCTGTATATTCTTTATTTTAGAGTGTGTACCCATCACAGAGGCAGCAAGCATCACATCTGTGCAGTAGCAGCCTCGGGATTCTATGCAGAAGTATCTCTGGGTGGCCATCTATGTTGAAGGAAAGGCTGGTTAGTGGACACACCTTAGTGACTGTGAAAATCCTCCTAAATTATCCGATTCTATAAGCTTTGGTTTTTACGTTTGCTAAATTGGAATATAATACTTATCTCACAGGATTGTAATAAAGGTTAGTGAGATAAATGCAATGTCCCTGGTTCATATTATGCAAATCAATAAGTGGTAAGTACTATTAATATTGTATAGTCCATTAAAATTGAGTGGCAATTCCAGAATATGTTTGGGTATGCATGCTGTTGTCAGAACAGATTGAAGATATTAGACAAGATTATTGCCAAATCAATTAAGAGCGATTTAGAAAAAGATTATATGATCCTTATATTTGAAAGCCAGATGCAACAGATTTGGAACTAAATGTTTTTCATATTTGACAAATATTGAAATCTGTTTAGAAGCATCCAACTTTGCTTTACATTTACTTGTATTAACTTTTTTTTGTTATTTTTTTTATTTTTTAGAGATGGAGTCTCACTCTGTTGCCCAGGCTGTAGTGCAGTGGTGACATTATAGCTCACTGCCGCTTCAAACTCCTGGTCTCAAGAGATCCTCACACCTCAGCCTCCCAAGTAGCTTGTATTACAGGCGTGAGCCACCATGCCAGGCTTGTGTGGCAGTTTACTAACACAAATAAGTGTTAATACTATAATGTTGCATTTTTCTCCTGAATTTCTAGTTACCATTACATAATATGATTAAGGAAGAAAGTAAGTAAAAGTGATATTGTAACAGTCTCATTTTCTGTATGTCTGCTGTTTTGTATCTTGATTTTCCTGTTTCATAAAATAGAATGTTTTATTTCCACATTTCATGGAAAACATAATCCGATTTAGACTGAATTTCTTAGAACTAAGACTGAGCTAAATGTGGTTGGCTACTTCAATTCTAGAAAATGGTGATTTTAAAAAACAAGAGGGGCGATTAAAGTTAGATTCTTTGAAGAACTTCTCAATTGTTAAGAGCTTGAAAATACTATAGAGGCATAAAATTTATTGACTTTGTTTCAACTTAGTGGTTGCATAAGAGAATGAAAAGGCTCAGAACAATGTCTGTGCTATTGTCGCTCCAAGTATGGTTTCTAGACCAGCAGTGCCAGCCTAGCCTGGGCCTTACCCAGACTGATGACCTTTTTGCAAGATCTTTAGGTGATCTGCATGCATTATGTACATTACAATCTGAGAAATCCTGCTCTAAGATATACTTCTAGGTTCTTTGTATTAATACGGGAAAAAAAAGCATGGAGGCTAATTTACCTTTGTATATTCTTATGTTCCTAGTTCCTTACCTGGAAGCTCTTTTCACACTTTGCTAGTTTCAATACACATTCATTTTTGTTGCTGTTTCCTGCATCATAATTTTCTAATTCATTGAAGTATAGCTTGAGCCTTGACTATTTCACCTGAATTCATCTACACAGGGCAGTTCCCTCCAGTGATCTATAAATCAGGTTTCAACCTCTTTGTCCTTCTAAAAATTCAACCTTTTGAGGATCTGTAAATGTTACTAGAGAGTTCATTTAGATAAGTTGTGAACAATAAGAAGTTTGACAAAACTGTGTCTTGGGACATAGGAATATAAATGAAATATAGTCCCATAATAAGAGGTAAGAGCATCATGAAGCTCTGTGAATAGATTCAAGAGATGTCAGAAGAGGAAAGAAAAGGAACTGTATTGTTTGGGATGAGGTCCGTGTGTACCTGAAACTCATACTATTTCTGAATCTACCCAGTCAACCTGTTTTTACAGTGGAACGTTTGATGCTCCCCCGGGCATATAATCAAGGATGTATGCAGATTCCATTAAAAGTGCAAAATTTGTCCCTAAAACACTTTTTAAAGAAAGTTATATCTGCTCTGGTTTCCCTCCTCATGGAAACTCAGGTCTTATTTCCTACTATAATGAAAAACTGAGAGGCGAAGAAAGGGGGAAAAAAACTGGTGCAGATAAGTCTTGGAGGCAAGCTAAAAAAATGTATGGCTTAACGAAGACTTTGCCAGAATATAGAGTCTTTCTGGCTTTCACTCTGGCTCCTTCATTATTGCTCAACATCAGTCATTGCTTCATAAATTCAAATTTTACCAAAAGGAGAAGTAGAGTATGCTGTACATTTTTTTTTTTTTGAGATGGAGTCTGCTCTGTCTTTCCCAGGCTGGAGTGCAGTGGTGCAATCTCAACTCACTGCAACCTCTACCTCCCAAGTTCAAATGATTCCCCTGGCTCAGCCTCCTGAGTAGCTGAGATTACAGGTGCCCACAAGCAGGCCATCGCTAATTTTTGTATTTTTAATAGAGACAGATTTCATCATGTTGGCCAGGCTCGTCTCAAACTCCTGACTTCTGCCCACCTTGGCCTCCCAAAGTCTTGGGATTACAGGCGTGAGCCATCACACTTGGCCATTATACTTCTTACATGTCTATTTACCAATGTATTTTTGTTTCCAATACATGTTATGACGGTAGCATCTCTCCCATGGATGGTATCTGGGTTGGCCTGAGAATATATTTGGGCCAAAAGAGACAACCAGTGGCATCCATCTTCAGTAAAACTTTTTTTTTTTTTTTTTAATTATCTTAGATATTATTATCTTAGATAATAATTATAAAATCTGTGAGAGAATCAAATCTATTTCCAAAGTTATTCTATTTAACATTATTTCTGTGCATTAGAGAATCTAAACAAAAAATTCCAATGTACCTAGAGCAGCCCACCAATGTGATGTCAAGGGGAATTCCAACATAACTGCAATAGAAAAAAAATGTTTAGTTTCAAAACATGCCCTTTTATTTTTTACTCAAGAAGAAATACTTCTGTTTGGTCAAATCATATTCACCCATCAAAGAGAAAGTTCATCCATATTCGTGAAATCAAGTAGCCCCAAATTGTACTTCAGTCCTGGTCTAAAAGTTCAGTTATTAAGCCAAACCTTTACAACACCTCCTAGAAATAATGCTGTGAATCGTGAGGGTCTCAGGTCAGCTCCCAAAGTTGATTTTAAGTGATGATCCTAAGGCCATCCTGAGTCCTCAATGCCTAGTTCCCTCAGGAATTCCAAACCACTTCACTCTGAAGTCACTTCTGTCCTATGGTCATTTCTTAACATTTTCTAAGTGTCATGTGTTAGACCATTAACTCACAACTTTTCTAAGTCTAAAACCTATAGCTCATCTCAATCCTGAGGATTAAAATACCTATACTCCAAGCCCTTTTACAAAAATCAGTGGCTGTCTTGCAGAAAACAATAAGCCCTAAAGTAAAATACAGCACTTCAGAAGCAGAGTGTTGGGGGCAGGGCGTCCAGTGATTCTTTGAGTTACTGAGGGAGCGTCTGTGTCTCTGGAAATTAATGCTAAAAGATGAATGTACTGGCTTTCTCTAATAGCAGTGAAGCTGGGAAGTTGCAGTTCATTTGGAAATTGTGTGTTCTTCAGTTGGAGACAGATTATACTATCAAGAGATCAGGGCACTGAAAATATGACGGTGATTTAAGTTGGCCATAAATAATAATAAACTTTCAATTATAACACATGGTGATAGTCACTTATATTTTGACTGATATGCTTTTAAAAAGTAAGGCAGTATAGTAAGGGAGAAATAAAATATGGTGGATGAGTAAATTTTGGGTGGATGGGTGAACAAATGGATGAAATAGTCATTTACTGAGTAATTATTATATGCTAGACACATGTAAGACAGTTTCTCCATTTTGTAAAGAAGGAACTGAAGTGAGAGATGTGACTTGTCCAAGATAACCCCCCTAGAAGGAGGTAGGACTGGAATTTGTATCTATTTTCTTCTGACTCCAAAAAATCACAGGTACAAATAAAAACCACTTAGTCTAAGAACTGGTATTTGTGTTAAAATAACTATTGTTGGACAGGTGTCTGTGGATCCCAGTTCCCAGTCTTTGATCAGTTTCTGCCCTCAGGGAAGGATTTTGGAGGAAAAATATGTCTTACAGGGCAAACCTTGTCCAGTTGGTGACAAGTTGAATATGAAAGGGAAACATCTCTATTTCAGTCCAGTTCTGATTAAATTGGATCTTGAAAAAGAAAAATTATGTAGGGAAAACCAGGATAAAGTCTATAGTTTCGCTAATAATAGTTTTATACCAATGTTACCTTATTAGTTTTAGCAATTGTACTATGGTTATATAAAATGTTAATATTAGGGGAAGCTGGGTGAAGGGTACATGGGAACTCTCAGTTATATTTTTGTAACTTTTCTGTAACTCTAAAAATTATTTCAAAATAAAACATTTTTTAAAACGTTAAAAAAAAAACCCTCTCTGAGAAGAGTGGTAGAAAAAAGTGAGGCTGGTAGGAGGAGTGAAGACCTTTCATCATCAGTTTTTGTCATTTAGCTATCATACAAGAATATGCAGACAACAAAGCTCTACTCAGGAAGTGGTTTAGCTCCAACATCTGATTTAATACATTCTCCTTGTTTCTGTTCTTTTATTTTGCTTACCAGTTGAAGTGATGGCAACATGAAGAATAGTTACTGAAATAGCATAATCCCAAACCCATTCTTCCACAACCGGAACAAAAAGCAATCCGCAAACAAAGTAGGTGACTTCTGTTGAAACTAAAAGAACTGCAAATAAAAGGAAAAATATGATTATCAGGGACTAGGGCGACTCACATTCTGAAACACAACTAGTAACAAGACCAGGAAAGCTTACTCTGAGAAGAAAGTTTGGTAAGAATTTTTTAGATGTTCCGTTTCCTAACAATCCTCAAATCTAGATAAAATGATTAATATATTTTATCTTTTAATAATTCTTAGATTTGTAAAAAAACAACAATATATATCATTTCTGTTTCACATTATTTGTACTTAACATTTTAGAAAGTGAAATATAATAAAGAAATGTTATAATGTAACCAATATGCACAAATCTGTAATCAGATTGCAAATCTCATTTTAAGATATATTAAAACTAATGAAAAAAACAGTTCTGAATTTTAAGAAATGAAAAAAAAATAAACCAAATGTAAGAGTTTATCAAACTACAACATTTGTTTGATACCAAGCACTGACTAACTTGCGAATGAGTTCCTTTGTATCTTTATAATAAAATGATCCATTCAGATTGTCACTGGGAAACATAACGGATAACCATGGATGAAAGACAGTCTCATAAATGACAGGTATGGATGGAGACACTGTTCTAAATACACGGGCTGTGACAGAGTGGTTTACTTGAACATGTATAAAGAGCTGGATATTTGCAAGTGAGAACCACAAATCTCTAAGAGTCCTGAACACGTGATGGGTCAATCTTCTTTCTCTTATCTTTGATATGGATCTTTAAGACTATCGTGGTTTCAAAAGGGAGATCCATCAAACTTTAAAGAGACATATATGTGATAAACCACCAAGGTCCCTTTGTAAATGATACCACTTTCCATAAAAATTACCTTTCTTTCTTTTTAAAGCACAGGAAATAAGTGGCATGTTCAGATAATTCAGGAGTATATACATCTAGGTAGACAAACTCTATATTTTTCAAAGCAAATAATAAAATAATCACCTTATGTCCTGTGCAGAAGTAATTTATTATCCAGCAAGCCAGTGATTGCAGCCGGTAAGCGAGGTACCAAGGACACAAGCCCCAGGTGCAATCTTTTTAAAGACCTCACACTTATTCCTCTTCAATTCTATTTAATTTAACTTAACAGGTTTCAAAAGTTAAATACAGAATTCAGACTAACTGCTTTTCAATTGCGCAGGAATCCCTTTGACCAGTGGAGATCAGTTCAGCATGTCCTGCCACCTAATATCAAGGAAAGAACTGTCCTATTGTGTCATATTGACACCATCTCTTTCCATCACATTTCATTCCTCCCTCCCCCACTGGTTTACAGAATCACTACATTATTGTAGGAAAAGAGAGATGCCTCTTTTGTCAGCATTTAGAGATTTGATAGGTTAACTTGCAGCTGCTTGGAGGTACTGATTTTAATCTTGCACAAGCTGTATTCATGTTTATTAATAGAGAATACTTATGTGTTGTTTATGATAGGGCATGAATTAAAGGAACTAATACAAAATTTGAAGTCAAGATACCAGCTTTAAGTCTCGCCTTTACAGCTTAAGAGTCATAAGACCTTGACTAGGCACGGTGGCTCACACCTGTAATTCCAGTACTTTGAGAGGCCAAGGGGGGAGGATCACTTGAAGCTGGGAGTTCGAGGCCAGCCTGGGTAACACAGCAAGACCCCGTCTCTAAAAGGAATTTTTAAAAAATTAGCCTTGCATAATAGTGTGCCCCATAGTACTAGCTACTCAGGAGGCTGAGGTGGGAGGATTTCTTGAGTGCAGGAGTTTGAGGTTACAACAAGCTATAATCATGTCACTGTACTGCACTGCACTCCAGCCTGGGTGACAGAGTGAATCTCTGTTTCTTTCCCTCTTGCTTTTTAAAAAATGTTATAAAAACTTGAGCAGGATTTTAACTTCCAGATCAGTCTGTTTTCTTCCCCAGAAATTGGAATGTGGAGTATTGCCTATCTCAAAAGAGTTGTTGGGAGTTTTAATGTAAAAATGAAAGAAACTTGCAAACTATTTTCTGCAATGCAAAGGACAGATATTAGTAATTGAAATGTGTTAACTGGGCTCACACTTTCCATTTTCCTTGCTAAAACTGATCTCGTGGGTGACAAAGTTATTGAAACCTGCACAAAACCTGACTGTAATAAATACATGCCAAAGTCTCTGACACTACTCTTAGATTTTATTAATATCTCTGAGATTAGACAAATATCAATTCTCAAAGAAACAACTTTGAAAAGTTATGACATGTATCTCCCCAAGCCCAAAATTAAAGATCTAATGGGCCAAGGGTTTATTGATATCTTTGTACAAATGTTTGTGTTTCATGAGAGGAAAGGACGACTGTAAACTCTGCCAGGCATTCTGGGGATCTTCACTAATCCCTGCTATGTAAAAGATCATCACTAATCTCTGCTATGAAAAAACACAGCCTTCTTCAATAAGCCTATGATATTATCCTTTCTTTATTGACTGACCCAAAGACTAGAATTAAATAATGACAGTTGAGTTTTAAATCTCTTCCTCTACCCAAAACACACACATGGCCCATACTCATCTCTTTACTGGGACTAATTTTTTTTTTTTTAAATCACTGGTGGATAGTATTGATAAAAACTAGGGAAGTGACTGAAAGAAAGTTAAGATAAAGTGTTAGACCTCTTGTATCTCAGAATCAAAGTATCTTGTTCTCGTATATTTTTCACCCAAAATTAAATCAATAATGATACCAAACAAGGATACCCATTTGAGGAGGCTGTTCTAAAGCTTTTTATTTGAATTTAGTAACTCTAACTGACCAAGTTTCCTATACAAATTACATTAGAAATCAAGTTTCATTGGCCTTTAGCAATTTTTCCATATTTGCATATTTGTCCCCACAAAAGATTGTGCAGTGGTTTTCTAATGATCTTTGAAGATCCCCAGAATGCCCCAGAATGTACTATCAATTTAAGGAATCGATAGTACATTAAAAACAATAATAGGGAAAAACTTAACAAAATATTGAGTAATTACTGTATACAGGATATAAGTATGTGATTAATTTATTTTTCATTTTTCCACTTGTAGATATTTTTTAAGCTTCCATTAATTAATATGTTTTATTTTATAATAGAAAACAACATTAATATTTTACTTTTCAAAACTGGGGCAAACCCACCATGAAGAGTCCCCAAAAAAGTATGTTTTACATATATTCAAGGTACCTAGGTGTGATTATTAACACACATAATGTGAACATACTAGATATTAATTAAAACTATTCAATAACAATGCCAAATTTAAGAGAGAGAAACTTTGCCTTAGTATATTCTTTCTTATTGTTTTTCTTTTGCAACAAGTTCTGTACTATTTTGGGAAGAAAAATAAAATGAAGCAGAAATGTACAAAGTAGAAAATGAAAGTTCCCTGTCATCCCAGATGGGAGATAACAGTTTGTTGCATAATTCTCCAGATTTCTTATCACTGACACCATGTATTTTACTTTATGCCACAAAAATGAAATTATACTATATGAAATCTTTTGTTGTATTTAATTTTCTATTTTATGTCTCACAAATATTTTTCTACATCAGCACATTAAGTCACTATTCCTCCTTTTCTTTAAAAATATTTAATGAACAAAAATTTACCCCCAGTACCATGAAATGAAAATTTATATAAGAATTCTTTTCCCTTTTATCCACATATTCCATCTTACTCAATCTTCAAGGAATAACAACTTTAAAACTTTTGATGGCACTTTTCCTAATTAATTGTTGAAGTCAGATAAAATACACAGATGACCGTGAGAAAGGCCTGATATTTAAATTTTTTAATTAAAAAATTACTTTTAGTGGCATTTAGTTCACTAATTGATAAGTATTTAAAATTAAAACAATTACCTTTGTAATATATGTTGCGCCATGAGGGATTTGTCTTGAAATCGAATGGTGCCAGGAAATCCAACTCATGCACCCTAAAGATGTAAATGAGAACAGCTTACTCTGGCTGAGGCAGTTCAAAGCTTTCCACATTACTATTCACATACAAGGATAAGTCATTCAATTTACCCACATTGTGACACATTTAAAAACTGGCCGAAATGGGAAGGAATCAGCAATGATGACAGTAATTTCTATAGAATCTTTTTCTGACTCAAACATTTTACTCTTCTTACTAGATTACAAGTTGTGGTAACAATTACAGCAAAATTTCAGCTCAATCATGAGGTGAGAGGGAGAAAAGGTAACAAGGGGCAAGGCAATGTCTGGTTACGAAATGTAAACTCACTTTAGGACTAAGCCAGGAGTTCTTCAGATGTAAAATAGGTCCCACCAAAATGGTGCTGTAACATATTTTTTAAAATTAAGTGAGCTACTATAGCAGTTAAGATCAAATAATTGCCGGGCGCGGTGGCTCAAGCCTGTAATCCCAGCACTTTGGGAGGCCGAGGCGGGTGGATCACGAGGTCAAGAGATCGAGACCATCCTGGTCAACATGGTGAAACCCCGTCTCTACTAAAAATACAAAAAATTAGCTGGGCATGGTGGTGTGTGCCTGTAATCCCAGCTACTCAGGAGGCTGAGGCAGGAGAATTGCCTGAACCCAGGAGGCGGAGGTTGCGGTGAGGCGAGATCACGCCATTGCACTCCAGCCTGGGTAACAAGAGCGAAACTCCGTCTCAAAAAAAATAAAATAAATAAAAAAAAGATCAAATAATTAAATGCTGAATACATCTTATCATGGATATATTTTTGAAACGTAATGTTGAAAAAAGTTATAAAATGACACCTATTATTTGATACTATTTATATGAAAAATATGCTAAGTAGAAAAAAATGAAGTGAGCTAAAAAGAAAAAAAAAATTAAAACTGGCCGACTTGGATGACAGCCAAATAACATTTTGTCCACATTGTCCGCTTTGTCCAATTAAGTCCCATGTTATTCATCAAGTGGACTTAATTTTATTTGATGTCTCAGCTAGAATCTTGGTAGCTCCTGCCATCAAACATGGAAGGAGAACTTAATATCCTGGAGACAGCGGAGGTTTAAAAACAGCAAGATACAGGTTCTAATCCTCCTGATGTTACAACCATGAACTTGGACAAGCCACCTAACCTCTCTAGGCTCCAGTTTCCTCTCTGTAAATCAAAGAGATTAATCTCTCAGTTCTCTTCCTGTTCTAAAATCTGAGTCTACAAAGTATACACCTGGACTTTATGCTAGGCCCAAGTTTGTAGTTGTGTGCACCCAGCCAACCAGTTAGCTGCCTCCTGAAGCTTTAAGGTCTAATTACTTCAAATTCCTCACCTCTGACTCATGTTAACTACAAACCCTTGATATCCCATGCTCAGAGGATCCTACAGGGTCTTGCCTTCTCCTTACCCCCGGCACAGCCTCACTATCTCCAGTTTCAGGGAATAGGCTAAGACTGCATGTGAGCACCAGATACTTCCTCTGTGGGTTTGCCTCCAAGCATGCTGAATAACATTCTTTCCATTGCAAACATTGGTATCATTGTATTTTGACAGTTGCATATTGGTTTTAATTTGCATATTGAAATAGAATTCTTTGCTTGCACAATTGTATAAGCACTCAATTTCTTGGAAATCATTTCTAAATACACATAATGTATCTCAAGGCAACCAATATATTGGCAACCTAAATCTGTAGAGACAAAATTCAACCATAGCAAGACAAAAACTTACCTGAAAAAATAATATTTTACACTTATATAGAAATGATACCATTAAAATACATGTATTATCCCATTTTATCCTCATAATAACTCTTGTTTTTGGACTATTCCATTCGACAAACGAAAGCATTGACATAGGAGATACTGTGATTTGGTTAAGATGATTCAGAAAGTTAGTAAGAACTTGAGTCAGAACGTGAGTCTACTGACTCCCAAAAGCGATTTCCAATATGTAACAAAAATTATTTAGATTGGATGGGGATGACCTTTAAGCTCCTTTCTTGTTCAAACCTGCTCTGATACCAGACCAGGGAGTAATGGGTTCACTTTCTTTCCATGAACATCCTGCAAAGAGGTAGGAGAAACAGTCCTAACTGGTTCTAGCCACTTCATTTCATGATTGTTACTTTTATCATTTTCAGAGATAGAACATTTGCCTATTTTTACTTAAGTAATGAATGTAAGCTGGATGCAGTGGCTCATGCCTGTAATCCCAGCTGTTTGAGAGACCAAGGCAGGAGGATTACTTGAGGCCAGGAGTTCAAGACCAACCTAGGCAACATAGTGAGACCTTGTCTCTACAAAAAATAATAAATAAATAAAAGTAGAGAAAATATACCATTAAAAAATCCATGTCCTCTAATCCATAAAGACATGTGAAATGTTAAATATAAAGTCCTTTCCTATTCAATGTTAGCTTTTTAATTCTGTTTGAAGACAATATGCTACTTACTGAAACATTATGCAGCCCACGCTCAGGGACACATAGTACACGGTGTAGAACAGGATGACACATAGAAGAAGCTTCTGCAAAACAACCTGTGGAGAAAACAGGCATGAGGCCCAAGAGCCTGGGCTTTTTCACATGGTCTTTGGTAACCAGTTTGACAAAAGATGATGAATAATCAGTAGATAGTGTTGGCTAGCCTTGTATTGCTTAAAGACCCAGGGGATGGGAAGGACTTCAAAGTGCACATCTTGGAGCTTCTTCAGCGGTATAATTTTCTTAAGACTCACGTGTCTTGGGCCTGCTTTATTCTTCATACCATGTATTGAAATCAATCAGTTTTTCTTTTAATTTGAGCATTAATAGCCTCTAGACATTTCTACATGATTGCTTTATTTCATTTTGATCCAAAATAAGATGAACAATATATAGTCTCTATATTAGCATGTATTTTCAACCATGAAACTTTTCTTATTTCTGTTAATATTAAAATTTAAATAACATTTTAATTTTTTAACACATTCACTTACTATAAAATTTTGCTTGTATAATCCAAGCATGAGGAGTGAACTACAGATCCAGAAAACCTACAAATACTAAATCTGTGTAAGACATTTGGAAGTATTTTTTAATTAAATTATAATTTGTGAGACAATATATTTGTTGACAAATTTTACACAGAGATACACTTACTTTTTCTCAAATTTATAAAACACTACATATGAAAACAGTGTTGCCTCCTGAAGAGGTTAGCATCTTCCACATTTGCAACAGGGATTAATGCAATATACAAATCCATATCACTTACCCTTCATTCACTGGAACAAACTTCCTAAATACCAATATTTATATTTTAACTTGACAAAACGGTTATAAACCTCAGCTGTGATAATATAATTCTTGCCAATTATAATAATAATGGCAAGAACCGCAGTTACTTTTGCACCAACCTTGCACCAACCTATAAAAAGATGAGGACAGGTAAATTCCAAATAATATTAACAAAAAACCCACATAATAACACAATAATTAAACCTCTGCAAGAATTTACAGAGAAATTTACTAAAACACAATAGATGGTCCTGAAATTGACTCTTCTACATCTGAGACCTAAGAAAGAAACACTGTAGATTAATGAGAATCAGATGGATTATTCGACAAATGGTGCTGTGAAAAATCTAACTTCTAAACAGAAAAACCCCATTAGATTCCAGTCTTGTACCAGAAACCACAATAAATTTCAAGCGGATTAAAGGCTTAAATGCCAAGGAATAGTTTGGGAGAAAATATTTGCAATATATGTCACAAACAGAGGATTGATACCTATAATGTATAAACTCACACGAATGTTAGAAAAGGATAAACCAATAGGAAAATGGACAAAGTATATAAATAGGCAATTCACACACATGAAGAAACACTTAAAAAGCCAATAAACAATCAAAAATGTGCCAAACTTCACTATGAATCTTTTCAAAGATATCCTTATGAATGTAATAAAGGTTCCAGCATTTCACATGAGAAATGCTCAACTTATTCAGTTTATTCTTTCAGTTAGCATCTTAAAGCCATTTTTGCTTAGCCCACACTCCAACACCTTAGGATTATTATTAATTTTCTTTGAATGACCAATTCACCAAACTGACCACATATTTTCACTGACCTAGGTACAAAAGGAGCCCACAGCCAGAGGCAAGAGGAGAAGGTAGTTAGCAGAGAGCATACCACAACCAATTGGCTGAATGAACCAGATTTACAGATCCACCAAGGACCCACTCCTTCCAACTATTTTTAAATTGGTGGGACGACAGGCCTAAGAGGGCTATGAGAAAACAGGACTCCAGGGTTTTGGGACCTTCAGGATCTTCCCCCACCCCTTGTTCCCACACCATCCTCAACACCCCCTACTCTTTGCCTATGTCCACCCCCAGCCCCACTCACCAAGTCTGGACTAGCTGCCCCTTATTCTCATTCCCACTTCGCCCTCAGGCTCTCACATTCCTTTTCTCTTAATCTCTTCTCCCTTATGATCCTCAGCCTCTCTTTCCTTAACCCTTTATCTCTTCCCGTCCATGCTTTTCATTCTCTCCCTAAGACCTGCATAGCCTGTGGTTCCGTGATAGCTGGCACAACATGATTTTTAAAAAGGAGTAAAAGGCTGTGTGCCAAAGAGACCTTCTTCCCATAGCTGTCTTTCTTTTATCACAGAATAAAAATCCTTCCTAGAAGCTGCAAACAGACTTCGCATTATGTCTCATTGTCCGCTACAGGGCTGCATGCCCACTTACCAAATAATCACAGGCAAAGAGTAAATGGGTTTACCCTGGCAGGTAGAACATCATGATTGAGCTTCCAGGGACAGGGACCTACTGGCTCAATAAAAGAAAAACTGCAGTTCTATTAGCAGGGAGGAAGGAGTCAGGGCAGGAAACTATGTTTCCCTTTAGGAAGGAATCAATATAAAAGCCCTCATTTTGTAGAGAAGAGTCTTCAAAGGTCAAAAGAAAATGTGGAGGCATTACCTGAGCTGAAGGCCCAAACGTTGTGCCCATACATCAACTGGCTCAATTCCTCCCCAACTTCTGGGATGAGAATTTGCTGATGAGAGATGGGTATGTAATTGGGAGCATCTTGGAGCTCCTTCAGCACTGTAATTTTCTTAAGAGTCATGTGTCTTTGGGTTTGCTTTATTTCTTCCATGTATTTAAATCAATTAGTTTTTATTTTAATTTAAGTATTAATAGCTTCTAGATATTTCTAGATGATTGCTTTATTTCATTTCTATCCAAAATAAGATAAATAATACATAGTCTCTATATTAGTTTGTCTCTATATTAGTATGTATTAGTATGTGTCTATGTTAGTAATATAGTCTCTATGTTAGTATGTATTTTCACACATTTCAAAAATGTATGAAACTTTTCTTATTTCTGTTAATATTAAAATTTAAATGACATTTTAATTTTTTAGTACATTCGCTTACTATAAAATTTTGCTTGTATAATCCAAACATGAGGATTGAACTACAGACCCAGAAAACCTACAAATACCAAATCTGTGTAAGACATTTGGAAGTATTTTCAATTAAATTATAATTGTGAGACAATATATTTGTTGACAAATTTTGCAGAGATACACTTGCTTTTGCTGATAAATTTATAAAACACTAAATATAAATAAAATAACAAAATAATATATTTTAAAATGATTTGTAAAAAATATTTTGAAAAGGGAGGCATAATTTTTGTAAATAATTAATTTTTCTATCTGAATTATAAATCTAGATTTTCAAATCATACTTTTGTCATAAGCAAATTCACTTGCTTTTAATATTTTCTTCCTCAAATCTATGTGAAAAGTATATATATATACCCTACAGAGCCTATGGAACTTAACAATTTTCTTTTTTTCTTTTTTTTTTTTTTTGAGACAGAGTCTCACTCTGTTTCCCAGGCTGGAGTACAGTAGCAGCATCTCGGCTCGCTGCAAACTCTGACTCCCAGGTTCAAGCGATTCTCCTGCCTCAGCCTCCTGAATAGCTAGGATTATAGGCACCCGCCACCACACTCGGCTAATTTTTTTTTTTTTTGTATTTTTAGTAGAGACAGGGTTTCACCATGTTGGCCAGGCTGGTCTCAAACGCCTGACCTCAGGGGATTCACCTGTCTTGGCCTCCCAAAGTGCTGGGATTACAGACGCAAGCCACTGTGACCAGGCAAGAACTTAATAATTTTCTAAAAAACAATCAGACCATGAGTTCCTCTGCTGATATCCTTTTATGGCCTCACATCGTCATCAGGATTTATTCATACATTTTTTCATTTGACAAGTAGTCGCTGGGCAGGGTGGCAATGCAAGGTAAACTGGATGTGGTCCAAGCCAGAGAGATGCAGTTGAGTTGTTGTTCTCAAAATACAAGCATCAGACTCACATTAAGGTCCTGTTAAAACACAGATTGCAGGGCCCCAGTCCCAGAATTTCTGATTTGGTAAATCTGGGATGGCCTCAGGAATTTGTGTTTATAACAAGTTCTCAGGTGACGCTGGGTCAGCTGTACCTATTACCACCCTTTGAGAACTACTGATCTAGAGGCAAGAATGAGTGAACAAACGGCTACAATGCAAAGAGAAGAGGTATAATTGAGGAGGGCAGAGAGTCTATGGAAGCCCAAGTGAGGCAGATAACAGGTGGGTTGTGTGTGTGTGTGTGTGTGTGTGTAAGCATGCGTGTGAAGGGGGCATGAACATTTCCCGAGAAAATCTTTGACAACATTTATTATAGGTTTTCTTGTGTTAAGGCATCACATGCATTACCTCGTTTAATCCTTACAAAACTTCCGAGAGGTAGAATCCTTTTTTAGAGGAAAAATGAAGCTCAGAGAGGTCTCATAACTTTCTGAACATTTGACAATAAATTGTGGAGTTGAGACTCAACCCTTATGCTACTTACGATGAGCTAGGGCAGCGGCAGGGGTTGCTATAGGCACAAGAGGTACTTGCAGAGACCTGGGTGAAGTGAAACTTGATGGAGAGGGGGTTTGGTAGGAGAAAGTTCAAGAGCTGAAGTCAGACTTGAAGGGAAATGTATGCCTTAATGAGGAATTTGCCTGTCTCTGAAGGCCCTGGGGAGATTGAAGGATTTAAGAAGCAGTACAGACTAGAGAGGGGCCATTAGGTCGGTAAGGCATTTAAATGGGTTTGCAACGGAAATAGAGAGGAGGACGGGTGTGTGAACTATTAAGAAAACAGAATGGATAGCTTGTGGGGGTTAAGGGACAGGGAGCTCGTGACTCTACCTCCCAATTTTCCAACCCAATTTTGTTAACTAGATGGACAATAAGAGGAGCAGGATCAGTTCTAAATGATTGGAATAGCAATCAGTGATCTAGCCCAGTGCTGTCCAGCAGAAATACAATGCAAGCCACATATGTAATTTTAAATTTTTTAATGGCCACATTTATAAAAATTTTGAAAGGGTAAAATAAATTTTAATATTTATTTAACACAATATATCCATCATATGATTTGGACATAAATGAATCATCAGAAATAGAGATATTTTATGTTGTTTGTTCATACTATGTCTTAGAAGT